TGATTGCACATGGGATGGAAACCCAGGTGAAGCAGTCTCCAGAAGGCCCCCCTTCAGTTACTGTCCCACACTTTTTCTATATATTTGCTTCCATGAGTATTTTGTTACTCCTAAGAAGTACAGAAGCATTCACACTTTTGTCTTCCTTCTTCATGAGCTTCATATGGTCTGTGAGTAGTATCTTGGGTATTGCGAGCTTTTGGGCTAACATCCACTTATCAGTGAGTGCATACCATGTGTGTTCTTTTGAGATTGGGTTACCTCCAAATCAAAACAACCCTGAGATTCTATCTCATACCAGTCAGAATGGCTAAGATCAAAAACTCAGGTGATAGCAGATGCTGGTGAGGATGTGGTAAAAGAGGAACACTCCTCCACTGTTGGTGTAATTGCAAGCTGATACAACCACTCTGGAAATCGATCTGGTGGTTCCTCAGAAAACTGGACACAGCATTACTTGAGGACCCCCAGCTATACCACTCCTGGGTATATACCCAGAAGATGCTCCAACATATAACAAGGACACATGCTCCACTATGTTCATAGCAGCCTTATTTATAACAGGCAGAAGCTGGGAAGAGCCCAGATATCCTTCAACAGAGGAGTGGATATAGAAAATGTGGTACATTTACATAATGGAGTATTACTCAGCTATTAAAAACAATGAATTCATGAAATTCTTAGGCAAATGGATGGAACTAGAAAATATCGACCTATCAGTTTCTAATAAGAGATAATAAAATTACCTGCTACTGTCACTTTCTCATGGTAATTCTATCAGTTTTACATCAGTTTTTGACTCTGTACTGTCAGGTACATAATAGTTCATTATATCTTCAGTTGTTGAAAGAGCTTTCTGCTTTCAGAATCTCTGAGCTTGTTTCTGAGCACGTGCACTGAGCAGCTCACAGTTACCCCAACTCCAGCTTCAGGGATCCAGCACCCTCTTTCTGGCCTCCACAGGCACCTGCACTATGTATACATAGTCACACAGAGACATGTGTACATGAATAATGAAAAACAAAAATACTTAAAATTGAGTGAAATAACTTGTTTTGTGTGTGTTTCTTAAAAAGATAAAACTTAAGACAGCTGTCATAAAGAATGGGAAGTGTTGGAAATGGCTTGTTGAAGGAAATGAAGATTTTTGTCTTATTTAAGAACTGGGTAGAGACACTAAATAATTATACTTTAAGTTACTTTAAATATATAAGACATTTTATGAACTCATTAAGAGTTTCATACATGCGTACAATGTATTTGACAATGTTTGTCCTCCATTTCTCTCATAGCTACCCTTCCTCTTCTCAACTTTGTGACTCTTCCCCCAAGTTTGTGCTGCCTATTTACTCAAAGGTGTAGGACTCTGGACCACAGTGTGGCCAACCTATCAGGGCCCAAGCCCTTAAAGAAAACTGACTATCCTTCCTTCTCCTAGATGCCATCAAACTATACATACCACCTCAATTAGGGGTGTGGACTCATGAACTTCTCTACCACCATGGCGAATGCTGGCTGGGTTGGCCTTGTACAGGCAGCAGCCATTGCGAGTGCATGAGTACAGCAAGCCTGTCATGTTCAGAAGACATTTTCACTGCTGCCTTCCCGACCTCTGACTCTAACAATTCTGCCCCCTCTTGCAACAAGCTTCCTGAGTTTGGGGACAAGGGCTCTGATACAGGTGCCTTGTTTATGGCTGAGCATTTCACAGATAGCTCTGCTCTTTGACTAGTTGTGAGTTTTTGTTTTAATCACCATTCATTGAACAAAGAAATATTCGGTGAGGTCTGAGAGTCACAGTAATCTACACATGGGCAGCCAGATATGAATGCACAAAGCCATGTCCATTAAGAGAACTGTTTATGTTAGCTGAAATACATTTCACAGCTTCTTCTGTCCCAGGTGAAAAATTATTAGAATAATTTTTAAATTCGTCATTCCAGAAGAAGGCAGATGAGGAGAAAATATGTGAAGCCCTACATTGATCACAATCTTGTTCTAGAGTATCTTCAGAGGAAGGAAGGAGCGGAGGTAGAACAGTATCTGCACCAAGGTGTGTGTGCGCCTCATGCATAGCAGACAAATTAGGCAAGGCCTCTGCCACTGAGCTACATGACAGCTTGTATAGTGCAAGGACATTGAAGGCACATGTAATTGCTACTGGGGTGAGATGAGGTAAGAGCAAATTTGTTACCTCAACAGAATGATAAAGACAATGTTTACCTCAGGAACCAAGAGGAAGCTTGTTAACAATCCACCATTTCAATAACTGAGAAGAAAAAACTAAAATATAGAAAGGTCTCTAACTGTAAGGGTTTTCAGAACCTCACCCTGTGGTGCACCTCTCTCCTTTCTCATGGAATCAGGGATGGGAGAACCAATATGAAGGGGAACTCATGCTGCCTCTGTGCTAGTGTTAGCCCAGGACTCTGACTCTGACAAAGCTATCTCTTGCCATTTTGTCCATACCATGAAGCTAACCTACAAGCAGAGTAAAGTCTTCCACCTTTCTAGGTATTAACATCCTTCTTACTAGTCTTAGCTTTCCTCTCTGTGAAAAAACAGCTCAAATGATAGCAAAAGAGGAATGGCTTGTGTTGGCTCATAGACTCAGAGGTTTTACTACACAGCTTCCTGATCCACTGTCTTTGGGCCTGTGTAAATCTGCATGACATGGCAGAAGAAAGTAGAGAAGAAAGCTGATCACCTCATGGCAACCATGGAACAATGAGAGGAACCGGAAAGGCTAGAGTTCCAACATCTTTCTCAAAGATACTTTATAGTGACCTAACTTCCTCCCTCCTAAATACTATGTCCCAGTAGCACCACAGGCTGGGGGTCACATCAGTGACACTTGGCCTTTGGACTGTTACCATATAGCACCTGGGTTTCTCTTTTGCTCTGTTTGATAAATATCCTTGAATAGTATTTTCCCCCCAATAAAAGTCTGTGGTGGGCAAATGTCTCAGTATTTTCACATCTAAAGCCCCCTGCACTTAAATAATTTGGCAGTGAACAAACTGTGGGCTGTGGTTGTTTTGCCTCAGCACTTTGAAAGTATTTCCTGGTACCTATTAGTAATGATGACAAGTCTGCTGTCAGTTAGTGCTATTCCTTCACAGGTAATGTGTCTCTCCTTCCTGACAGTTTGGAAGGCTGCGTCTTTATCCCTAAGGCTCTGCAGTCTGACTCTGATGAGGTTGAGTATGCATTTATCTTTATTTATTCTGCTCCGTTTGCAGAGTGTGCTCTCAACCAAAGAGCCTGGGCCTTATTCTAATTTTAAAAGATTCCAGCCACTGCTGCTCAGTCATTCTTTCCATTGTTTTCTGAAACGGCATCAGGACTGTCTGTGGCCACTCCTGAGTCTGTCTTCCATTTCTGTTAAGTGACCTTCTGAGGTTTGTAATCCGTGTCTGCATTGCAGGTGACTTTTTCAATAGCTTATCTACTTCTCACTTTTCCAGTGACTCAGAGCCCCTGCTTACTTTGCCTCTGGGCTTCAGTGAATCTATGGCTTGTTTCTGAGATTCCAACTTCTTCTTCTCACCACTATCCATACTTCATACCTATGGTGTTACCCCCATTAACAACTTCCAGCTGGTTTATTTGTTTTACAGTCACTTTTCCTCCATCATTCCTTCTTTTGAGGATATGATGCATTTGTTTTAAATATTGCTTTTGACATGACCTCAATTAAAACCTGACTGTTCATTTACAAGGCTGACAGGCTAATGTAGGTCATCCAAAGAAGTGTGTGACGTGTGGGCAAACTCTTCCTGGCTGAGAGACTGCTCGGAATGTTCTGTCACTCTTCCTAGCCTAGAGTCCTGTGGTTCCTTTACTTGTAACTCCAGGCTTTAAGTGGAGGTGGCCCTGGTGAGCTGGGTCTCTGCCCAATGGTCCCTGCTGATGAAGCTGTCCTCACTAACATCATCCCTGATAAAGCAACAGTGAATCAAGACTCCACATAAGCTAGAGGCCACAGCTGACAGTACTTCTGGGCTTCCCTCCCATTCAAGCAGAGTACAGGCTCTGGAGTAGCAGGGCATTCTCAGTTTGTCCAGTCCTGGTGCAGCATAAGAGCTCTGGGGCACACAGCATTTTCAGATTCATGCTCTCTGCTTTGTGTCTGAGTTTGTCTCTTGCCCATAACAATATGTGGTTTTTAAAGTGGGGCAGTGGGACAATGACTTGTCTTTTTAATGCTCTCCTTTTAGATTTTAATCAGTTCTGTGTTTTTGGAGCAGGATAAGAAGTACAGCCTATGAAGCAGCATCAATTGGACCATTCCTTCATGTAACAGCCCTCTCTGTTGAGTAAGAGGGCACAGGGCTCTGCAAATATGAGATTTAAGTCATATTTCCTTAGAGAGCTTATTTTCACAAATGCAGACAATTATAAAACACTTCTAAGATTGACAAACCCAGTGATTTTGACAGCTTGGAATAAGAAGTAAATCGATGAGTGTGCTGGTTGGTTTGTGAACTTGACATGAACCTAGATTTATGTGAGAGCAGGGAATCTGTTTTGGGAAAATGTCCCATAAGATTGGCCACTAGGCAAGGCTATGGGGGCAATGTCTCAAGGGCTGCTCAATGTGGGAGGGCCCAGCCCACTAAGTAAGCAAACCAGTCCATGGCTCTCTTTCACAGCTTCTGCTTCAGTTCCTGCTCTGTGTGTGTTCCTGACCTGACTCACCATTATGGACTGGTTGTTTGGAAGTGTAAGATAAAATAAACCCATTCTTCTGTATGTTGCTTTTGGTCATGGTGTTTTATCACAGCAATAGAAACCCTAAATCAATGTAAATAGTCACAACTGAGGCTCAAATATAGATTTCTGGGATGACTATACTAAGAAAGTAAAAATCTGAACTTGTACTTTGCTAATAAATCATATTTACGTGGACACATGGACCTACAATGTGAAGAATGTAATTGTGGAAGTATGCATCAAAGCATCATTATTATTTTATAGTAGCTATCAGATATGCTTACCTTTAAAGTCCTCCTTCGGGTACAGGAAAGATGCTCAGTGGGTAAGAGTGCTTCCTACAGAAACAATAGACCCTGAGTTTGAATCCCCAGAACCTACACAAAAGCCAACTATATATTAGTCAGGGATCGCTAAAGGAACTGAACTGATAGAGTGAAAAAGAAAAAACCAAACAAAAATAAAGGGGATTTATTAGAATGGCTTAATTCAATATGACTGGTATATTTATAAAGTGGGGGAATCCTTATTTTAGAAACAAGTACTCATGCAGGAAGAAATCATAGGATGATAACAACAGAGATTGGGACCAGGTGTCTCCAAGCAAAAGAATGTCACAGATGGAGAGACCCAGTGGAAGCTAGGAGAGAGGCATGAACTATATGCTCAGAGGTTGTCAATACAGTGATGGCTGACTTGTAGTGTCCCAAACTCTGAAATGATGCATATCTGATGTTAGACTGTCCTATCTAGTTGTTGATTATGCCACAATGATAATAATGGCATATATTTGATAATATGACATATATGATAATATGGCTATGATAGTTAATGATATCAACTTGATGGCATCTCCAGTCACCTGAGAGACTAGCCTCTTGGTTAGGTTAGTTGAGGTAGGAAGACCTTATGCACTGTGGGTGAGATCATTATGTGGGATAGAATCCTGAACTGTATAAAAGAAAGCCAGGTTAGCACAGGGACACTTCCCCCTGCTTCCTGATTGTGGATACAATGTGACCAGCTACCTCAAGCTCCAGACACCAGGACTTACCTACTATGTTGGACTTGACTTTAAAACTGTGAGCATAAACCCTCCATAAGTTGTTTTTGTCAGGGCATTTTATCACAGCAACAGGAAGAGTAACTACAATACCCCATCCACCCTACTTGGTTTTTACTCTCTCTTTCAGAGAGAGTGAATAGCTATGGCTTGTCTTTTTCTGTGTCTGGGTAAAGGAACACCATCCAGGTCTCTAGGTAACTGGCTGGGTCCTTTTATGCCAAACTAAGACCATTCCATAGTGGTGCAGATAACATGAGTAACATTCATGAACATACATACAGCAGCTTTTTGGCTAAAATGTGTATAAGTGTAATAGATGTGTACGGCCAGCTTTGAATTTTAAGTTTGCTATGGAGAATGAAATATAAGGTTTAAAGGCAAAATTCTGTTTAATAGCACTCCTGTACACTGGTTAACAGCACTCCTGTACACTGGTTAACAGCACTCCTGTACACTGGTTAACAGCACTCCTGTACACTGGTTAACAGCATTCTTATATACTGCTTGGTACCTGTGTCAGACTCTTCTCCTACATATAAAATACAAAGGTTTCCAGACTGAGGTTACAATCCTCAAAGGCTCTCTTCTTTTCATTCTATAATAAAATCACAATCTCTAGAATCTTCTATGAATATGTTTTAAATGAAAGGATAAGCTCACAGTGGGGTGCTCCCTCTCACACCCTGGATTAGGCACAAAGCACACTCACACACCTATTTTCACAGAGAGAACCTTTATTAAGTGGGGAAGGAAAGTCAAGTGGATGATCTCTGACTCAGGCAGAAAACAGCAGCAAATGACAAATTGAGGGTATTACTTTATGAGAAAAAGAGGGAAAGTCTGTGTTAAAATGGGTTATGATGTGGTGGTATGTTCTCCAAATTTCCTTCTATTTAGTTATGATACTTGCTTTGGGTTTTGGGGATGGGGATTAACTTTGGCCAGTAGTCCAACATTAAAGGGTCTTGTTCCCATAACAGGTTCTTCATTTCTGGAGCTGTCAAGATGACCTTCAGTTAGCTTTAAACCTTTCCTAAGTTGACCCCTTGAATTCTAATGTGATTATATTCTTAAGTACCCTTAGCATCCCTGGGGTGCTGTGTGCCAAGCAGGCATTTTATGTGCACTGTCTCATTAATGCCTACTACAGTTCTATAAGACAGATAGATACTATGGCTAGTCCACAGTGTTCCTGAGGGACCTGAATCACAGAACTGTAACTAGTTTCCCTAGTTTGTCTAAGTTCAATCAGGAAGTGCCATATCTAAGGTCAAATGCACATCTACCAGAGTTAGCCTGTATTACTAGTGCCTAGTTTTAGGGCCTATCATTTAAAACCGCGAATTTGTCTTAGTTGTAGCTGCTGAAACCAAAAGACCACAGCTTGATGGCCTAAAAACCACATTTCATAGCTCTAGAAGCACATTGAGAGGCTGGAAAGTACCCCCTCCCTCACCTCAGTACCCTTGTCAGTGTGTGTGTGTGTGTGTGTGTGTGTGTGTGTGTGTGTGTGTGTGTGTTTAAGAGAGATACAGAGACAAAGAGACAGACACTGAGAGAACACAGGCTACATTCAGGGGCCAGAGCTATCATTCTCTACCCCATTGTTTGTTTTTCCAAGAAGGGTTTCTCTGTATATCCCTGGATGTCCTGTAACTCACTCTGTAGACCAGGCTTGCCTAGAACTCAGAGATCCCATTCCTCCCCACTGTTCTGAGACAGGGTCTAATTGAATATATAAGTGAGGCTGGTGGCCATCAGACCCAAGTGATCCTCCCACATCTCTACACCTACCCAACCCCAACAGCCCTGGTGGTACAGCATGTTTTTCCTGCTAAAATTTTACATGGGTACAGGGTTCCTAATTGAGGTCCTCATGTTTGTGAGTAAGCTCTCCTCACTGAGCTGAGTCCACAGGCCACCTACTCCCATTTCTGAGGCCTCCACTCCCATGCCATAACCACTTCACTAAGACACCCAATCTCCAAACCCAATGATATTGAAGGTTAGAATTTTAACTATGGATTCTGTGAAGATACATTCAGTCCACTAAAGGCTCACAGGAAATGGCTCAGTTTCCTCTACTCTTTCCAGAACTCTATTCATCCTAATTAACAATTATGTAAATAAGACCAAATCTAACATTTATCCCTGTGGTGCCTTCCCTGACATTTCCTTTTCAAATGATTCATGTGCCTCTTAGGCTAATTATCCTGATATACAAGTACTTCCAGTTTGTTTACTGTCCACAAGATTGTGTTCTTATCTAACGGAACTTAAAAATCACTTTTTGATATAAATAATATATACTATCTATTTGTTTCTACATTCAAATATTTGACATTTAAACCCTTATTTTAAACCCATCTAGGCATTTAGTAATTAAAAACTACTTGTTAAATTTGGCTAGTGGGTTTGGTTTATTACGAATATTTTTTTTTAAACTCATGACTCTTTTGCTTTGATCTTTACAGATTTTCTTGTTTTGTTCCAATATTTTGTTTTTACTCTCCTTTAATTTCCTTGAGTTCTAGGCACACACCATGGTCAGAGGCAGGCAGAGTGCCCACTCAAGCACCTTTGGTTCTGTTTCTTCTCCAAGAACTGAGGCTCACTGAGTTCTCAACATTTGTTCCAACTTGGGGAGGAAGGTCTTGTATTTTTCCTACCTTGTCAAAACCTCTCAGTTCTTTCTGAAGATCACAGAAAACAAAGTGCTTTCATCATGGAGTCATGCAGAACAAGTACTGCGGGTTCAATTAACTGTCAGAATCTTTATAACATGGCCTCCAATTCTCCAACGAGTGAGTGCCAAAGGGGAGAGGCAGAATTTCAAGTCTTTCTGAGTGCTCTCACACTTACTTTAAACCCTAGAAGGCTTTATGTAGGATTAATCACAAAACACCATCATTTGATAAATGAAGATCAGATGTGCCCCCTTTGTTAAACAGGGTGAAGATGCCATAGTCTCTGTGGGTCTTGGGGATTCAGTACCAGATTTAAAGTCCCCCCCCCACCCCCATGAAGGAGATGCTTTTTAGTTTAAGGAAAAGCAAAAAGCAAAATAAGGAAAGAAAGAGAGGAAGAGAGGAAGAGAGGAAGAGAGGGAGAGAGGGAGAGAGGGAGAGAGAGAGAGAGAGAGAGAGAGAGAGAGAGAGAGAGAGAGAGAGAGAGAGAGAAAGAAAGAAAGAAAGAAAGAAAGAAAGAAAGAAGGCTTAGACACCATTATTCAAATGTCACATGTGATTTTAGTTTAAAAAGTAACAGCAGAAGACATCCTACACAAGTAAAAAATCCCCAAATTAAATTACTATCTTTTGAGTGATGGAAAGTGTTTAAAGTTGACAGTACAGACACTCATCTTCCTCTGTGAACACACTGAAACCCACTGCCTCTCAGGCTTCATTGGCTTCACCTCAGGCTTCTGCAGAAGGTTCGCCACATTATTAAAATCCTCCACTAAATTTCTTGTATGCATTTTAATGGTCTCATGCCATCATTGTATTTTAGGTGAATTTTCTCAGTTAATTATGTTTACCACAAGATAGGTATAAACCTACCATCTGCTTTCCTTAAAGTGAGTGGAGGAGCTAGGTTTAAAATAAAACAAAGCAAAACAGAACAGAACAAAACAAAACAAAGCCAAAAACAATGGGAAGCTAATCTGTGACTCTCTGCTACAGACAGAGTATGGCTTGTCCTTGTTAAACCACATGCTGAGGCTTAATTCCATAGCATAACAGTATTCAGAGGAGACATGATGTTTAAGAGCTGGGGCCTAGGAGTAGATGCAACCTTACAAGGAATTAATGCTTGGTTCTAGGAGGTGGGTCATAAGCAATTGGATTATTTACCAAGAGAGTAAGGTTTTCTAAATTCAGGCCACTTGGTGAATTTTCTTCCTCATGTGGTCACTGTTGTACACATATCTGCCAAGTACAGCCCTTAGCCTTGCTTGATGCAGCCAGATGAAACCATTCTGCTTGGACATATAGACACCAGAACCATAAGCCAAATGAGTTTGTTTTCATTATAGGGCAACTGATCTCAGGTATTCTGTTTCAGCAACCTCAAATGCTCAGGCCTGGTTTACCTTCTCATTCATACCATTTTACTTCCTTCTCATGGAATGTCATCCCAGTTCCTACAGAATTCCACATTCCGCCAGACACTAGGGAGGGAGAAATGGGGACTAACCACAGAAAGTGACTTAAACATGGCTTGAATACACCCTTGGAGAACAATGAATGACAGAAAACACCAGCTGAAAAG